TTCAATTATCTTTGCCCATAATATTTAGTTGGACTAATATATTAAAATACAATCCCTATTATTTTATCGATTTAAATTCGATAAATTTAAATGCTTACACTTACAACCGAGGTATTCTAATAAATTCACCTGGTATTTGGTTGGACTTGTGGACTGATTGCTTCTGATTGGATTTGTAACTATGGGATAACGATATTTCCAGGACAAATATATTCTTCATAGAACTATATAGCTTGGATATGGAAAATTGTAGCCTTATCAGGGAACAAATTATGTCTTGAAGCCTGAAAGTTACTTCTTTGCTCAAAAGTGCCTTTGTTTTGTTCTTCTAAATCCAAGCTATTGTCACATAAATTGAAACGGAAGAAGTACTACTTTTACTTTCTATTACTCGTGACTATTGCCAAGTATGTACTCAAGGGCATAGGAAGAGAAGCAGATCAGTGGGTTGGTGCTATGAGTGAAGAGATTGAGTCTCTTCATAAGAATCAGACATGGAAGCTTGTTCCATTGCCAAAGGAACAGAAGGTACTAGGCTGCAAATGGATTTTCAAAAGAAAAGAGGGCAATTCAGGGGTTGAAGCATCACATCAAGTTACAAGGCAAGATTAGTAGCTAAAGGTTTTACACAGAGGGAGGGGATAGATTACAATGAAGTGTTCTCTCCAGTGGTAAAGCATAGCTCTATCAGGGTCTTACTGGCTTTGGTGGCTCTTCATGACTTAGAACTAGAGCAGTTAGATGTGAAAACTGCATTCTTGCATGGTGAGTTGGATGAGCACATTTATATAAGTCAACCCGAGAGATTCATTACTCAGGATAAGATAATCATGTTTGCTTGCTTAAGAAATTTTTATATGGTCTGAAACAGTCGCCTAGGTAGTGGTATAAAAGATTTGATACATTCATGATTCAAAATGCATTTTCTCGAAGTGCATATGATAGTTGTGTGTATTACAAAAAGCTTGAAGACAGTTCTAGTGTATATTTGTTGTTATATGTGGATGAGATGCTTATTGCTGCTAAAAGCATGTCACATATTACCCGATTGAAGAAGCAACTAGGTGAGGAGTTTGAAATTAAGGATTTAGGTGCTGCAAAGAAGATATTGGGGATGGAGATTACTCGAGATAGAAGGGTTGGAAAGATGATGTTGTCCCAACGGTCCTATATTGAGAGGGTCCTCAAGAGATTTAATATGACAGGTGCCAAATCTATGTCTGTTCCTTTTGCTTCCCATTTCAAGTTGTCTACAGAAATGTCACCAAAAATAGACGAGGAGATGGAGCAGATGTCTAGTGTTCCATATTCAAGTGTTGTAGGTAGCATTATGTATGCTATGGTTTGCACTCGCCCTGACATTTCACATGATTTTAGTGTTGTGAGTAGATACATGGCATGTCCTGGTAAAGAACATTGGCAGGCGGTGAAGTGGATCTTGAGATACTTGAAGGGTACTGCAGATGTAGGCTTGACTTTTTACAAAGACAAGTTGTGTGAATCCTTAGTTGGCTATGTCGATTCAGATTATGCAGGGGACTTGGATAAGAGAAGATCTCTGACAGGATATGTTTTTACTCTTTCTGGTAGTGTCATCAGTTGGAAGGCGACTTTGCAGTCTGTCGTTGCTTTGACTACCACAAAAGCTTAGTATATGGCAATTACGGAAGCAGTTAAAGAGGCTATTTGGCTACAAGGCTTGGTAAGTAATCTTGGACTAGCTCAGAAGAAGACACAAGTTTTTTGTGATAGGCAGAGTGCCATTAATCTTACTAAGAATCAGATGTTTCATGAGCGGACGAAGCATATTGAAGTCAGACATCACTTTATTCGAGACATTATATCAAAGGGGGTTGTTAATGTGTAGAAAGTGTCTACGCATGATAATCCAGCTGATATGATGACCAAGGCAGTCCGGGCCAACAAGTTTAGGCATTGCCTAGACTTGATTGGTGTGTGCAGTACTCAATAGAGCCCTTGCGAGGGCTGAGGGCAAGGTAGAGAGACGTTGTTCCTATTGATGAAGAGAATTCAAGCCAAGGAGAAGATTTGTTATTTGTGGCTTGAATGAATTCCTTGTATTTTTAGGAAACCCATAGTCCCTATAGGCTTAGGAAAACCCATTGTCCTAATAGATTTGGCAAAGGAAAATCTATAGTCCTTGTCAAATTGGAAAACCTTTCTCTTATATGTTTGGGACCTTTTGGGATCTATATATAGGGGTTGTAGTTGGGGATCCTAGAGATTGTACTGTGCTTTTCTTCTCAAAGTCCTATTGAGTACTGCACACACCAATCTAGATATTTTCCGCTTTGGGCCAAGCCCGCACGGTTTTCCCCAAAAGGCCTCACACCATTAAGAGATCTCTACACCTTATATGTAGACTCCCAATCTTTTCAGCTACCAATGTGGGACTTTGTTTGGACACCCACAATCTCCCCCTCGAACTAAGTTCCACGTGGCCCACTACCATGATTCACGGGTCAATTTTCGAGATTCACTGTGTGCCACCCACATTGTTAGAGTATTATGGCAACCAAAGCCCGTAACTAGCTTCTTCTTGTGTGTGCACCGCCCTGCCCCATCACTCTGCCATCTCAATACTCGTTCCGCTGAACCTGGGCTCTGATACCAGTTGTTGGACTAAAACGGCCCAATGACACTCCTAACATGGTGCGATATTGTTCGCTTTGTGCCAAGCCCGCACGGTTTTCCCTAAAAGGCCTCACACCATTAAGAGATCCCTACAACTTATATGTAGACTCCCAATCTTTTCAGCTACCAATGTGGGACTTTGTTCGCACATCCAACAATATTTGTATTAGAAAATTTATTAAATATATAAAAAATATTTAATTATGAACTCAGTAACTATAACTAACTATGAATTCGACATCGAGTTCAAAACTCATAAATTTTAAATTCTAGCTCCGCCTTTGTACGTACCAATGCCCCCTCCGGCAATCTTCATAACCATGGGAACGGATTAATATATAATCATCAAAATTATACATGAATCAACACCTAATTTAGTCAACTCAAGGTTAGCGAAACCACAAACCTCAAAGAAGCTAAATGGGAAAGGTTAACCAATTTATTTAATTTCTTTCTGTCAGCAGCTAGCCTTCATTTTCCTTAATGAAGGCAATTCAATATTAATTGGAGGGGAAATAGATACCGAATACAAATTGAATTAAATGTAAGTATTGTTATATAACTAATTATAGGATATCAAATGTACTCTCAAAGTGAACAGAAATAGAAAATTCCCATGATTTTACGAAAGAACTTTTGACGTTTGGCTACAAGTAAAAGATTTATAAGGAAAACATAATAATAACATGGGAGGTTTTTCCTGACCTTATCACAAGACCTACTAGTCGTTTTTGGTTCGGTTTACAAAATCACGTGCCTACCTACTAATATTTGAGGGAAAATGTACCCACACTAAGGGTGTGTTTGGTATAACCGAAAATGTTTTCCAAAAAAAATATTTTCTTGGAAAACAAGTAGTAATCTTACTTATTTTTCGGTGTTTGGTACGCAAATTAAGTAAAATAACTTTTCAAGAGTATTCATAAATAATTTAGATACAATAAACATGAAGCCATAAATTTTCGAACCAACAACCTTCCGAACCCACAAATTTCATAAACTTCCGAACCGCTAAACTTTCGAACCCGTAAATTTTATAATTTTTAAACATTTAAACTTCCAAACACATAAATCTCCGAACTCATAACTTTGGAACTTGTAAAATTTCGAAGCTGTAAACTGCAAACTGAAAAAAATAAAACTGAAAATATATCAAAAAAAAAAAAAGATTTGCAGGGGGGAGGTGCAAAAAAATAAAAAAAAAATAGAAATTTGAAATTAAAAAAAAAAAAAATTGCGCAAGGGTGGGGTTGGGATCAGCGGGTGGTGCAAAAAACGAAAAAATAGAAATTAGAAATTACAAAAAAAAATACCTTTTTTTAGCGCGGGGGTGGGGGCAGTGGGGCTATACCTGGCAATATCAGGTGAGGAATGACTCACTTTTCATCTTCAGATATCATGACAACCACTTCACTACTGGAGTTCTTCTTGTTCTCTGCCATGCTTATCTCCCCACTAAATTTTGCAGCTTTACCATTTGTATCCATTCCACCCCAAGTTAAACATCAAACACCTAAAGAATTAGAAAGAAGACACATGTCTTGATCATTCATAGTTCAATTTCACAANAATTAAAATACAAAAAGTAAAAATTAGTTTATGCGCGGGGCAGGGGGCAGGGGGCAGGGGGTGGGAGGTAGCACGGTGGCTGGTGACGAAAAGGAAAAAAAAAATTGGAATCTGAAAAAAAAAATTCCTTTTTGGAGAGAGAGGGGGTCAAGAGGTGGGGCAGGGGTTGGGGTTAGATGTGAGGGTAGGTGGAGTTTTTGGAAAATATTTTCCTAACTTTTTCTAGGAAAGTCATTTTGCTCCAATTTCAGAAAAATGTGATATCTAAAAAAATATTTTTCAAACTATTTTGTCGACATGTAAACACACTTGATGTTTATGTGTCGCCGCAGAGCCTGAAGTTTTACTAAGAGAATTAGAAATATAAATAAGTGAACACAAGAAAAAGTCAAGGAAATTCAATATAACATATAATAATATACTTTGTTGACTTATCTATACAAAGTAATTTTTTGCAAAGGAGTAATAACTGACTCTTCGTGGACAAAAGTAGCTATGTCTCAATTTACACCAACCTAATAAATACAAGAGATATGTATTTCACACACGATTTATCTCTTAACTTTGTGAAGTGATTAGTATTTTTACTTTAATTTTTAACTATCGAAATTAAATTATTTGATTTACTGAAAACACTAAAGTGTTGTAAGTATTTACTCCAATATTAGAAGTACCAATCTTTTACCCTACTTGCACTGCAAATACTGTAAGCCATAGGCATAAATAGAGCACATATCTACGAATTTGCTGAAGTAAAAAAACTGTCTAGTCTTTTTCTTACTCTTATATTTTTTTTTTCTTTCAGAAATGGCCACTATTCATGCCCCTAAATCTTCTCCAGGGCCAACAGTTTGTGTGACTGGAGCAGCTGGATTTATTGGGTCTTGGCTTGTTATGAAACTCCTTCAACGTGGCTATAATGTTCACGCTACTGTTCGTGATCCTGGTAACGATTTTCCTCTTTTCCTACAATTATGTGACATATTTTTCTTTAATATATTTGAAAAAAATGACAATACACTCCTAAATTTGAATATAATTAACTTTTCACTTCTCATTTAATCTTTGTGAGAAGTTTTTATAATCACAATATGTTATAGTATAATTAAGGCCACAACTTTCAAAGGTGTTAAAGCTGCAGAAAAGCACCGACATGTTTTAAACCACAAGTTTTACTTTACTATTATTATTTTCTTATATGTCGCAGCGATTCTAACTTAGGGGGGCGGAAGGGGGTTAACCCGAACACTTTCGCCGGAAAAATTACATTGTACATATAAGGCAAAATCCTGCTTGAACCTCTACGTATTATATCTTGAATCCCCTTGACACAACCCAAAAGCGTAGCTAGTTATTGGTCAAGAGGGCTCAAAACTTTTGTAAGGTCACTAGTTCAATTTTCACTAGCCACAGTCTCTTCTAATACTTTTAACTTTTTCTTTTTCTTGAATATAATTAGCGAAAATCATGCGTCCGCCACTGATTCTAACTGTATCTCATATAAATAAAATGAGTTGTTTTGGAATTGTAGAGAACAAGAACAAGGTGAAACATCTTTGGGAGTTGCCAAAAGCTGATAGCAAGCTGACGCTGTGGAAAGCGGAGTTGACAGAAGAAGGAAGCTTTGATGAAGCCATTCATGGCTGCCAAGGAGTATTTCATGTGGCCACCCCTATGGATTTTGATTCGAAGGACCCTGAGGTGCGTAGTATTTAAATACAGTGGCAGTGTCAGGATTTATCTAAAAAAAAAATCAGAATATAAAGAAATAAACATACCAAAAGGTCAAGGGTCCCGAATTGAATATATATTAGATATATACATAAAAATAATTTTACATATATATACACGAAGTTACTTTAGGCTAAAGGATCGAATGAACCCCTCGCGCAATCCTCACTCCGCCTTTGTCTATATATGAGGAATAACAACCCCAAAAACTCATTTCACTTAACAGTGAAGAAACATCCTCTAGTAAAGGGTGTTACTCGATCTTTGACAAGCACTTCGGGAAAAAAAATCACTTACATATGTGTACAAATAATTCTGAAAAATAATACTCTCTTTGTTCCAGTTTACGTGAACCTGTTTCATTTTTGGTCCGTTCCAAAAAGAATGACCCCTTTCTAAATTTGGAAACAATTTAGCTTAAACTTCCAATTCCACCCTTAATGAGAAACTTTTATAACCACACAAATATTCTGGACCCCTTTTTGACTTGTGTAGAATCACAAGTCTTTATTTTTTCTTAAACTCCGTGCCCAATCAAATAGGTTCACATAAATTGGAACGGAGGGAGTATGTGTATATACAGAGGTCCAATATCACTTAAAAATAATAGAAAATATATATTGAATTGAGCCATGAAATAAAGTTTTAAAACTATCGTAGTTCGGGACCCAAACAAACCTATAAATTGTATTGTCGTAGTACGTCATGAGTACTGACTTGACGTGCCAAGTTTTTGCCTTTATGACATGTCTAAGATCACAAGTTACAAAAGTCTTCTTCGTTGATATATATCTTTCATGTAACATGCACGTATATATATGTTTGACAGAATGAAGTAATCAAACCAACAATCCGTGGAATATTAAACATAATAGAATCATGTGCTAAAGCAAAAACAGTAAAGAGGCTGGTTTTCACTTCATCTGCTGGAACTGTTGACATCCAACAGCATCAAAAACTAGTCTACGATGAGAGTAATTGGAGTGACTTGGATTTCATATATGCTAAGAAGATGACTGGATGGGTTAGCCATTAATTATTTTCTTATTAATTCATTTTCCTTAATTAGGACTTTCTTTCTTAATCATACAATTTTAATGAATATTTAATTTTTCTGCAGATGTATTTTGCTTCCAAGATATTGGCAGAAAAGGCAGCATGGGAAGCAACTAAAGCAAAGAATATAGAGTTTATTAGTATTATTCCAACGTTAGTTGTTGGTCCATTCATCACTCCAACGTTCCCACCAAGCCTAATTACTGCCCTTTCACTAATTACAGGTATTACTTGATTTTCACGACCATTTAAAATTTACTTTAGTTACACAATCACACCATTTAAAGATAATTACTGGCAAACTCTCTATAATAAATACGTAATTACTTGCTGATCGAACTCACACCTATTGTGTGGAGAACTCCTATTGATAACACTATACTATAAGCCTTGGTGGTAATTTTTATTTAGAAATGACATCATGTAGCCACTCTAAAGGGCTGCTATTTAGGAATTAGCAGTGCATCATAAATTTCAATTTTTTTAATTTGATTTTTTGAGACAAAAGTGTCCTGAATTGTCCTGAAGTTATAATTTTTTAGTTTAAAATTTCATGGCAAAATAGGTACTGGCCAATCTCTAAATAGTATCCCTAAAAATGGCTATCTGTGCACTTGCCCTAATTTTTATAACTAGTTAAATTAATCTTAGGGGTCGTTTGGTATGCGGGATAAGGTGTGGGATTAAATTTATACTGCTTGGTTGGCAGTATAAATTTATCCGAGTATAATTTTTATACCGTCAACCAACATGGTATAAATTTAATCCTAGACTTAATACTGGATATATCTTATCTCACCTTATCCCATCAAACTAGGTATTATTTTATACCGCCTCTCAGCTGGAATAAATTAGTCCAGGTATTATAATTTCGGGATAATTTAATCCACGTACCAAATGTCCACTTATCTATATCATTATAAAAGCATGAATAAAATGTTGGATTACAAAAATAACCTTTTAATATTAAGCACAATAATTCACAATAAAAGGACATAATCGGAATTCTAGACATTAGCCTGGTAACCCTATTAGTTTTAGGACATAATACTACACGTTAGGAATCCTATATGATTACTTTTAGGAATTCTATTAGTATAATTATTTTGGGACATAGATATTAGCCTTGTAATCCTATTATTTTTAGGATATACTTCTTAAAAAATTTCTACTACTAATTTAATTTGAAAACGTATTATATTGTCCAAATCCATTTAGAAACAAGAGAGCCTATCTTATATTTTATTATTATTATTATTATTAAAGCACGAATATAATATTGGCATACCAAAATAGCCCTAACATATTAACCATAAGAACTCATAGAGAAAGGATATAGCTGTAATAATTATTTTTAGACTACAATAACTTCTATGTTAATTTTATAACATTTAAGGTTTTAATTTAATACAATCTTGTCTATTGAAATCTTATTAAAAATATGCAGGAAGGTTTAATAAAATCAATTTCATAAGAATCCTCCATATTGGTAATACATTACCCCTCTATAATATTCAATACCAAAAAAAAAAAGTAATGCTAAACGGACTGCATAAAGCGTTGAAATTGAGAAAAAATTTCCAAAATAATATATTATTATATTATATTTGAACTGCTTTCCTACTCAAATAAAAAAATTATTAATAATTTTTTCGTGCAATATAAAAAAATATACCTAATTATTAAAGAACAACTAAGAAATTTTTTTAGAATATAAATGTGTGAGAAAAAAAGAAGAAAAAGGTTGGTAAGAGCCAATATCACTGATGATTTTGCAAACATAAAGATCTAAAAGTGGAATGCATCGATCTTTTTACTCTTTGAAAATAAAATTTATGATGAGTAAAATTATAATCACGGTTAAATATTCAAACACAGGGAGAACTAATATTAAGAATCTAAATCAACAGAAAATAAATGATATTTTATGTTAAAACCAAATAATCAATTTTTTCTATTAATTATTTAGCAAGAGAATCCAATTAAATTATTTTTAAAATTCATCATACGAGTGAAATCCAAATAACTATCACAAATATATCAAATCAGAGCAATAGTGCTAAATTTATAAGGAAAACAAAAGTGATAATATGGGATGAAGCGTTTTTGGCTAAGCGTCAAATGATTGAAACAATCGCCCAGAGTTTTAGAGATATATTGGATATCGATGGATCGTTTGGTGGAAAAGTAATAGTTTGGAGGTGATTTATGAAAATTGACCAAAGCAGAACAATAAAAGCTAGCTTGCCAAAATTATACTTATGGTCTCAAATGAAAAATATTCAAACGACAAGAAATATAAAAGTACGAACATATCCAACATTCAATGGCTTCTCGCTTCGTGTAGGAAACGAAGCAGAGCATCCAATAAAAGATGATTTGATTCTTCTAGAACACTTGGTTATCAACCCCAATGGTAATAGTAGTGTATTTAATAAGGGAAATATTTTTATCATTAGACTAAAATATAATTTGTACAAATTACCACGATAGAAATTAAAGAGTTATCTTAGATAGCATAAATGAATATGTTGATTAACTAAATAAAAGGTTGATTGCTAAGTTTTATGGTAAAAATAAAATATTTTTCATTATTGACTCAGCAAAAGATGATACCAACAATAACTACCAAGAAGAATACCTAAATATTTTAATACCAAATGGCCTTCTACTGTACATGTTTGTTGTCAAGTTCATTATTTCTTACGTATGTTAGTGTCACCATATATATAATAGACTAAGTTTTGAAAACTTAGATCTGCTGAATAACTTATGTAATAGTACATATATGGTATATAGAAGTTTTGACAATAACGTCATACATGCAGAACTTATGATATTGGTCAATGTGCTTCTAATATGTGTTTATCCTCGAATTCAACGTTCGTCTTCCGAAACTAAAGAATATCCTTTTTAATTTGTGTGAAAATAATTTTCAGTATGTTTATGTTTTGTAGTTATATAATAAATAAAGCGCAAAGACAAACATCCTAAATATTGGATTATATTTACCAATTATATTTTCTTACACGAATAATTATATGTTGCATTTTCAAGAGAGATATCAATATTGACAACAAGAGTTCTGATTATGGAACAGTAACCAAAACATTAGAAGGAAACATATACAAAAAGTACTGTCTAGAAAGAAGTGTTCGGTAAGATACCATCACATTAGATATCTTTAAACTACAATACATAATTATCTACTTAACATGACTAAAATTGATCATTTATGTAAGTTCTGATGATATCCTTTCATTTTGAATTCACTTATTATGCTAATGTAACAATATTTTTCGGCATTTAGATGATTGTTGTAATATTATATATAAAATTTCTCTCATTAATTAAATTATATTGTTCCTTCATATAAATAAATATTTAAATGATAATGTACCATTATTAACGTGCAACGCACGTTTATAGATACTAGTAGTATAAAAAATCTTTATACTATTATGTTAGTGTAAAAATCTTAAATTAGATATAATAACTTAATGATTTTGATACGTTTCTTGGCTCCTTTTCTATTGGTTAGCAATTTATACTTTCTATATACTCTTATCATAGTTTACTACTAGGTAACTATTTAGAACATATTTTTATACTTATTGGTGTATAAAATTGAACGGGGCAGAGTTAAAGTTTAGCAATTCCTTTTTTTTTCCCTGTTAAATTAAATCTGATTGAGATATGCAGGGAATGAAGCACACTACTCAATAATTAAGCAAGGTAAATATGTGCATTTGGATGATCTTTGTGAGGCTCACATATTCTTGTATGAGCATCCCAATGCACAAGGAAGATTCCTTTGTTCCTCAGATCATGCAATCATATACGATGTTGCAAAGATGGTCCGAGAGAAATGGCCAGAGTACTATGTCCCTTCCGAGTAAGCTCTAAGCTCAATGAATTCGTCGAGTAAAAATTTATCCACATCAAATGCTTATATAATTAAATCATGCTTAAGTTATTATTGCTAAGTGATAATTAAATTAGCTGAAAATGCATGTTAACTAGCCATGTATGAAAAAAAATAGAAATAACCTGATTTACAAATGCTAATTGAAAATTAGCCACAGTTAATTAAAATTTAGCCACCTTTTCAAGTAAAAAATAAAATCTCTGAACAAATACACACTTAAAATCCTGAAAAAAATTCCAGCATAATATGCTGACATTTGAACTTTTTACATATGAGATTCCTGTAAAATATTTGGAATTTCATACTGGAAGTTTATACGCTCATCAGCTCCATTATCCAGCATATTTATGCTAGAACTTTTCGTGTTTCAGTTAGAGTATTTTTGTTCAAATTTTATCTTCGTATAAAATAGTGGCTATTTTTCACCGATTTTACAAATTCTGGCTAGTTTTCAATCATCAGTTCGAAAACTGGCTAGCCCATGCTATTTTGACCTATGTATGTATGTGAAGCCACATTATATGTACGTATTCATTGGTTGGGATAAACATATATTACGTTTGACTGAAAAAAAAAAAAAGAATTACAAATTCCTTGTTCTATAATGATAATAACCAAAATAATGGGCTCATTCGTGCTTGTACAATGAAAATGTGAACATGGCTTGATAACACAATGTTGGGGAATTGACAGGTTTAAGGACATTGATAAGGACTTGCCCGTGGCTAGTTTTTCATCAAAGAAGCTGACAGATATGGGTTTTGAATTCAAGTACAATTTAGAAGACATGTATCGAGGAGCCATTGAAACTTGCAGACTAAAGGGATTACTTCCTTATTCTACCCAAAGTCCGGCTAGCAAAACAGCGGCGGATTCTGGATTCTGATAACGTAATGAGCAAACTATTACTATGATGATAATATTAGTAGTATGTTTTATAAAGACCATGCATGATTAATATGCAGATGTGATTGGTGTCCTGCGTCCATAATTACATTCGTACAAGATTACAGGGGCGGATCTAGTGCAAAATTGTTACGGGTTCACGTGAACCTAGTAACATTTGGCTTAACCCTGTATTTGTACTAAAAATTCATTAAATATATAAGAATATTTAGCTTGAAAGTTAGCTCGTTGGTACTTGATATCGTTGTAGGAGCCCATAGACTTAAAATTCTGGATCCGTCTCTGTACTCATACGCATCAATTTTACTGCAGAAACTCCAGAAGGCTTCAAACAGCTACAGGAACTGCTGAATGTTGCCTGATCGTTTCCTGTATATGCTCATAAATTTGGCTACAAATTCTGCAACCATAGATATATATAGATAAACAGTAACTTGGGTAAGAAGAAAGTAATACTAAGATATTCAGTACGGAGCGTTCTATGCATACCATCATTTATATATAGAGGCGAATCCAAAATTTAAAGTCAGTGGGTTCCAAATGAAGATCGTGAAATGATTAATCTATTTATGTGTTTTATCATCAAGATATTATAGCTGAGCTTCTCCTGTACATATAATGGTTCGCCTAACTGATTTATTTAACAGAACGTGATCATGTTCTATATTGTGTTGAAATCAAGTTGACTATACTGTTATTTACACAAATGGATAACAATCTCAACATCTTTATCATATAACACCACCAAAGAAATTAATACTTTACCTTCTAGTTTTAAGATAGCGCTTGTTCCAATTGGGAGCCTTTTTTCCTGCAAATGGCCTAGGGTTACTCCATATATCAGTTTTTCTCAAATAAAAATTGAAAGATAGAAGGGGTACGTAGAACTTACATAATAAGCATACCAATAATATATTTCCCTTTTTAAACCTCCATCAACCCCCTTAAGGAATTGTTCAACAAGTTTCTGTGTGCATTGAACAAAATCAGAATCATGTCATGGAAATTCGTTAAATGCTACATCTTCAACCATTCTCATAAACATGTATTTTACCAGGAGTATAAGTTTTGGGTGCACAAACTCGACTAAGAGTTTTTGGAACTTGCCCCGAATAGAAAATAACCTGATCAGACGAATACACACTGTTAATTTCAATATTTCTGTCAGATAATGTGCTTCCAATAGATTATGCTACAAACAACTCAGGAAATTATCGGGGAACAAAGGCGGATGTAAAGCATATGGTACAGGTTCGGCAAAACCAATAGCTTTGCATTAGATTTTGTATATGTGTTACGAAATTCACTAAATATGTACATATAATAAAATGCGAACCCAATAGAATAAATAGATAGTGGGTTCGGTGGCAAGCAAGGGATCACCAGAACCCATAAACTTTAAATTCTGGATCCGCCTGTATGAAATAACGTAACACATGACAATTAAAGTGGGTCTGAAATTGTCCCTTAGTGCCTAAGATGAATAATATCCAAGTTCCTGATTGCCAATATGTTCGGTTTAATGGAACAAGAATTTCCTAACAAACAAAAAGAAGGGAGAAAAAAGATAAAATAGGAAAGAAATTAATACCTTGTGGGAGTTGGATCAGTTAGAATTTCAGCTGCAAGTTCTACTACAGCCTCTTCCCATCCTACTGAAATTGGTTGATCCTCTGCAAAAGGATAGCTGTACAAGTGAGGGTATCATTAAGTGCTTTAACACATTTTCTCGGTCGATCAAAAATAATTATGGCCGCTAGCCGACTATATAAAAAATATACACTGATTATATATAAAATACATTAATATACAAATAATATACATTTGTCGGCTACACTGTGTCAATTTCCCTATCATTAATCCATAACCTAGCAAGAAAATAGTGTGTAAATAATAGTCTTACTTGTGTGCTTTGCAGGCTTCAAGAGCCATAATTGCTCTTCTCAGGTTTTGCTTTGATTTTGTAGCTATTTTAGCAGCAAAGCCCCTAGATAGTTCAAGATCTTCCATTCTTGCTACCTCAATGAGAACTTCCACTATCTACACAAAGCAAAAAAAAACGTAATGAGTAGATGTGATTATGTTTAAAGCTTAAGGCATGTATATATCCCTCGGAATTCAACAAGCTCGTCTAGTGTAAACATGGAGCAGAAACAACAGAAATTGATAAGCAAGTCGAGTATGTAGAAAATAAGTTGGCAGCAACAATAATTCCAGTGAGTTCCTACGAGTGGGGTCTGGGGATGATAGTGTGTACGCAGACCTTACCCCTGTCCTAGGAGCGCAGAGAGGTTGTTTCCTATAGATCGGAGAAGATGAAAAGAAGCATTGGCAACAGATAGTAACAACAAGAAGATATTAAGAAAACCAAAGCGAAAGATAACAATCAAACAGTAAGTAGAAATAGCATTCTTAGAGTAAAAGGATATTCTAGATTCATGATCCAAAGAAGATAATACAATTATGATTAAAATTTTGTACACTTACTTCATTAGTCGCGGGAGCTTCAACTTCAATAACTGTGCAGCGACTTTTCACTAACTCGAGTATAGATGCATCGGTTTCACAGAAGAGAATGAGCTGACAAGCATCTGAATAACAGTCCATGATCCATTTTATTAAGTGTTGCATGTTCTCCGCAGATTTATCCACGTTGTAAAGAACTATTACTGTAAGCAGCAATGTAATTAATATCAAATTGGGACCAAAAAAACTGAAGTAATGCGATGTTAATAGAGCTGTTGTGTCTATATAGATATGAACCTTTGGAATCTGCCTTCATATTAATCCTGCTAACTTCCGGGGTTAGCGCATATTCACTGCTTATTTGCTTAACCAAAGCCATTAATGCAAATCTAGCATTAGGCTCCAAATGAACATTGAGCTCAATATGGTGAGGACTTGAGCTTACTGGTACAACTATTTGCACTGGCCTCGCTTCCTGCAATTGTATATCACTAGTTAACAAATTCATTAACATTTAAATTTAAACATGTCTTAAATTGTAGTTGGGCACACCCCCAACACTAACCAACAACAACAACAATAAACCCAGTGTAATTCCACAAGTCGGGTCTGGGGAGGGTAATGTGTACGCAAACCTTATACTTACCTATAGAAAGACAGAGAGGCTGTTTCCAGTAGACTCCTGACTCGGGAAAGAAGCCCCAACACTAACCAATAACTAATAAAATTAAGAAAGGAATTCAAGTCAAATGTACCTGGATGTGGAAGTATTTCAGATCATGGGATATCTGCAAAAAAATATCATAAAATACTGGGATAGTTCTAGTAATGAACCCGAAAAAGTATAAGAAAAAGATAATGTAGCGTAGGGTTGCATCTTCTCAAGACGAGCTTACTTACATTGCAAATTGCATCGCCATAGATTTCACTCAAAAGAGCTATCGATAATGCTCTTTTACCAGATCCTGAAGGACCCTTGAACAACATGTGTGGGAGTGGTTCATTTGAAGAAACCTAAGAAGAAAAAGAGTTAGTAAACAGAGAAAATGTGAGAATAATGCCAGGATTTATATTATATACCTATAAGTGACTTGATTCTGTTAAGAAAATTATGTACTTCGTCAAGCATACAACTTAAACTATTATGAGTTTAAATAATATACACGAACAGTGCGAAAAACTTCTACATTGTCGAATCACATAAAAGTCAATTACAGCTAACTTTTTACAGAAAATATGGATTCATAACCTGTAAAACTTGGTAAATAACTTGTTTCAGTAGGTAAAAGTAAAACCACACTGACAAATCAAAATTTCTTTACGTTGTTGGTGTATAAAAGTTAAAACTCATTCTTTTATTATTGTTTTCCTGTTTACTTTCCTTAATCAACTAATGTCCCAAAAAGGTTTCACACTTCCTTGAACTACAATTGCATATAATTAACTCAATCAATTATACTATATTTATCCGATCATTGAAGGGGAGCCTTGGAGTATCAGTAAAGTTGTCTTCATTGACCTATAGGTCATAGGTTCAAGCCACATAATCAGCCATTGATGTTTGCATTAGGGTAGTCAACTTACATTACACCCCCTTGAGGTACGATCCTTCCCCCGACCTTGTATGAACTTGGGATGCTTCGTGCACCAGCCTGTCATTTTTTATCCGATCATAGCGGACTAGAAAGGCTCCAAATATTAACATGTGTAAACCAACTTTATCGTCTACATGCCCAGTCAAAAAAGGCAATCTGGTGCACTAAGCTCCCTCTATATGCGGGGTCGGGGGAAAGGCAGGACCACATCAGTCTATTATACGCGTCTTACCCTGCATTTCTGCAAAGAGGCTATTCTCACGGCTCGAACCTGTGATCTCCTGGTTTGACAACAACTTTACGAGTTACTCCAAGAGTCCCCTTCGTTCCCATTTAAACTATGTGATAAAATTGAAAGTACATTGATATTCGATATATCAAGTAACGGAATGAGATCATCTTTATCAATATGAAAGATAAGGCACTTACAAGATGACTAAGTAATAAAGCTTGTTGCTTGTTGCAAATGAATCCCTCCAATGAATCAGGTTGATGTTTATCAGCCCAAAATTGTCTCAAACTTTCAACAACAAATGCCTTCTCAATTAATAAAGCTTCATTAATCGGCCTCGCTCTTTCTGGAGATTGATCTTTTCTTGAGTTTCTACAAGATCCATTCTTTATGCAAGAAAACCATGCTTCTGTTTGAGTAGTACTCTTTTTCCTATTTGTTATGAATTTTTTCGCACTTCTACTCGTCCTTCTAGTAGCATCACTTAGATTACTGCTCTGCCTACTTATAGCAGAACTTGAATTCGTAATTGTTCTTCGTGTCACAATAGCACTAGATGAAATAATTCCCCTGCCATTCTGATTGAAATTCGCGGGCATCTTATTAACAGAACTGACATATTTATCAGTCGATGTTCGGGGCACTGAATTGAATTTGCTTGATTGAGTAAAAGCTGAATGTTCCTTAGACAAGAAAATATCACTTGGTGAAATAGATTCAGTGCTTTGAAACATATTACTCACGCCAATTGGAATATTGGGGCCTCTTGAGATCTTTGCATTGGCTAATATTACATTGATTTCACCTACTGAAGGTTCATGTTTGCGCGGAATTTCTCTTTCTCTTTCTCTTTCTCTTTCTCTCCTGGACAAGGTCCTCGACGTTGGGGATCGTGTTATTTCTGTTCTTCTTCGATCCTTGGACGTGTCA